TTTTCTTGTATCATGAAATACTTCATACTACTTTAGCACTGAACTAGTGTTTGGTGAGAACTATGCAGCGGTAACTTTAAACACAAGGACATATTTGAGTTTCATTACCAGTCAGAACCACTTTCCCAGAAACAAAGATGAGCAGGACGATGCGAGGTTTCACCATCCGGTAGATGAGGCCTGGAAACAGCTCTGGTTCATAACTGTGCAGACATACACACACATACACACACATACACACACATACATACATCAGACTCCACAGCTAAATCTGAATGAACATCAGTTAACTTCAGCAAACTGGATCACGCTATAAAGTATAAAAATGAAATGTAGAAATGTTTCTGTATGAGCTCTTCTGGTCTCATCATGAAATGAAGAAACATTCTCATGTCACACGTTTGTTTACGTTTGACATGAGTTGTCTTGACATGAGTTGTCATGAACGCAGCACAAGCTAACTAAACTCAAACATTGGAACTCTGCATGTTTACCCACTCGCTCCATGATGCCATTGAAATGATTGGATTTCACTGAAGTTGTTAAGCTAGCTAACAACGTCCCCCTGCACCCAGTATTTGTGCTAAGCTAGGCTAACCCCGTCTCTGCTCAGTCACTGGATCTACCTGCTGAACTGCTGATGGGTCAGGACCAGTCCTTCCAGTCTGATGGGGAAAAACACATCACAGCTGGCCACCATGTTCTGGATTTTAAAGTCCATGAAACGAGCGGGGAAACCGAGTTTCTGCACCACCCGGGCATACTTCCTGGCTGCCAGCCGAGACTGCTCCTCACTGAAAGTCATCCAGAGAGAACAAGAGGGTCAAGAAACTCAGACAAAGAATTACTTCATGGTTCAAACATTATCTCATCGGAGGTGAAGACTGCAGCTGCTTCTTCTTCTTCTATGGTTTAATGTGTCTCTACTTCCTGTGATTGGTCCAAAAGTCCAAACGGTCCAAGTGTTTTCACTGTGAACCAACAGAACCAGGTTCAGTTTGATCCAGACCCAGAACTCCTCTTCTGGTCTGAGGAACCGTTCACAGCTGAAGTTCAGGTTCAGAGTCTGAGGCTCTGAACCAAACCAGGTGTGACAGAACCAAACCAGGTGTGACAGAACCAAACCAGGTGTGAAAGAACCAAACCAGGTGTGACAGCTCTCTTTGTGTTTCGGCGGGGATCAATAGGTGGAGCTGATATTGTGAGAGGTGTTTGTTGGTGGTTCTGCTCCCATAACAAACCTTGGACGTTCCTGCACATGGATTTGGGCTCTTGGTCTTAGAAAGATTCCAAAGTGAATGAAACAACTTGAAGTATATGAGCCCTGATAAGAGCTGGTCCCGCTGCACTTAAGATCATTTCTTTCAGTAGATGTGCGATGAAGGTGACAGACTGACCTCTTGGCTCCTGTACAGACCATCTTTCCCGAGCTGAAGATCAGCGCCGTGGTTCGAGGCTCTCGGATCCTCATGATGACGGCTGCAAAACGCTGAAACACAACTGGCTGCACCTCATAAATTCCAAACATCTAGAGTGGACAAGCTGACAGAGGAAAGTCTGGTTTCAGTACCTTTGGGTTGTATTCTGCATTTCTGGCTTGCAGGGCGATGAACTTCAGGTCCAGAGGACAACCCAGGTTCACAGTGGAGACGATGTTCCTGCAGTCCGAGGAGAGGGTCTCACTTCATTTTCATTAATTCATTATCATGATGTTAACTGCTCATTAAAAACATCATTACATCTATAAATATTAATATTTACATTTCAATATGATTGTCACACAACCTGGGGCGTCATTTACAACCCATAAAATACTTGTGTGAAGTACTGTAGAGCACAGAAAAAGTATTATTACCACAAACTACTACTTCTTACTGTAGCTGTGGGATGATCCCTGATCTCTCGGTCACAGGGGTCATGGGGGTCATGGGGGTCATAGGAGTCATGGGACAAAAGGAGGAAGTGATGGTCCCCATTCCTGATGTGGGCGGCGCCTTCTGGAAGTCAGCTGCTATGGAATCTTGGCAATTGTAGTCTGGACAGACGCCGCTGTCCTGAGACGTGTCCACAGCTGCAGTCGGACCCTCTGCTGCTTCAGCTGAAATTAAACCTCAGAGTCAGCTCTCTGTTAAAGGCCACACTTGTGTACTTGTACTCAGAGTCAGGAGTGCATTAAGTCGACTTTACTCTGAACTGCAGGATCTCTGCTGTTTGTGATGCTGATGACGTCAATCATTCATTGTTGACTTGTAGAATAACTGGAACTTGCTTCACTTTCCAGACTCCAAGTCTGTTTTTATTCACAGTTTACGTCTGCGTAACTTATAACTTATACCTGTGTCTTCCTGTGTGTTGAGTTCATCAGGTAGAAAACTCAGGTCCAGCTCCTCCCCCAGCACCGCCTTCTCAGACTGATAAGAGCTGTTGTTCAATGAGGGGGCGGAGTCTTGGAGACCCAGCTCCTCCCCCAACACAAAGCTGGAGTCCTGCAGGAGCCAATCAATCAATCAATCAATGTTTACATTTGGTCACTTCCTCACTCTAACCCTCTCACTCTCTCTCACACACACACACACACACACACACTCTCTCTCACTCTCTCACACACAGACACTCTCTCTCTCACACACACACACACACACACACTTTGTTACATGTGCTTCATTCATATTTAAAATGTTCACTTCAACTGAAACATGGTTTAATGGATGTTTTCAGATTCCAACATTCTGAGGGTGAAAATATGAGAATGAGATTTCAAACAGCTCAGAGCTCATGTTTCTGGATTTGATTTGAATCAAGAGAAACTGACGTGTTCAAACTTCTGTTACATTCTGATCCAGCTCACTGATGGAACCTGTGATGTCACACTCAGGTGCGTCCACTGAGCGTCATCTCTAAATAACGCTCTGGATGTTCTAACAGGAATCTCTACTCACATTTGCAATGGAGTCGTCAAAGTATCGCTCCAACGCCGACTCGTCCATGAGTGAAGAACCTGATCCAAGAGCTGATCCAGGAGCTGATCCAGAGCCTCACAGCTGCATCCAATCCACACTGATGAGACCCTGAACTCTGAGTACATTTACTCTACCTGTTCACCTGGCTGATCCAGTACCTGTGTGAACCTGCAGGAGGCGCTCTGTTACAAATGTCAACAGGTTGCTGATGGATTCTTCTACAGGTGGTTATACAGCCTCAGCCAATCAGAGCAGAGCTGTGGCATCACAGACGCTGCTCTGCAGCTTGATGAGAACCTCGACAGCTCCCCCTAGTGTTTAAGTGTACTATTTGTTAAAGGTCATACTTGTGTACTTGTGTACTTGTACTCTACTAAACGGTCTGAACTCAGTTGCACTGCACCCTCCCGCCTGCAGGTGGGGCTGCTCCTCCGACAGCACAGCAGAGGACTAATGCGCACAGGAAGTAAACAAGGCAGCATGGCAGCGCGAGGT